AGACCTAGCCCTTATCTGACTAAATGACCTTGAGTAATGTACTGCTAGCCAGTGCTTTTGTCCTGCTGTATGTCAGTGTCCTTTTTTTTCCTTTTTTAAAATTTTTCTAAACTCAACACATCTATTTTAATAAGCTCTGAAATACACAGGAAAATAGCATAACTATCACAGAACTGTTTCTGCACCTAATCTCCCCAAAATAAAGCTCTCCAAACACACACTTTAAAGGACACAGCACAAACCTGAGCTACAAACTGCAATGGTAAAGCCAAGAAAAACAAACAAAATAACTCACGAAGTTGTGCGAGTGATATGTGTTTTCCTATACCCTGCACTTCTGTGCTCCTACACCTTTAACACCCTTTAAAAATGGAGTAATACCAAAACACTTTTAATTATGAAGCTTCTTTGCTGGGCACAGCAGGACTCAAACACCAATATCTGCAGAATTCAGCTTTCAAGAGAAAGAGCCTAACTTCTGGGAAGAGTCTCTCCATGCTGTCCTGCAAAAGAACAGCAACCGATAAAATCATCAATTCTAGGTATTAGCAAGATATAAAACAATAAGGCGCTGTCATCTGACCTTTCAGACAATTCTAGTGCTTCTGCTACTCTTCGCAGTCATTAAGCAGAATACTCAAGTTTGCGTGACAGCCATTTCTCCATAGCTCTTCAGGAAGCAGCGAAACCCTCCACAACCATTTAAGTTTCATGTCACAGGTGATTTTCCTAAATACCAGAGTAATTGCAAAGCCCTAAATCTATTTGAGGATGATCTGAAAAAGTCCTCTGCAAGGGGTCAGAGAAATTTAAGATCCCTCCATCCCCCCCGAAATTAGAAGTTAGAGCCTGATAATAGAAAGGGATTTTAAACATACAGCCTGTTGACTCTCAGCAAGTCTCAGGATATTCATCCACCTTCAAGGTACCCAAGATGGCATGCTACAGGCTTAACCAGCCACAGCCTTTCCTCTTCACAGCATTCCCAGAAATTTGGATTCAGACAGTACACATGGCAGGTTACAAGAAGAATAGCGCATGTATGAAAAGGGAACCAGTAGTAAGTGCTGCAAACGCATGTGTTGTACTGAAAATGAGACTTCCAAGGAGAACAGGCGAGGGTAAGAACGAAGCAAAACACTGTTTTGTCAATAAGAACAAGACTCAAGGACATTCCGATAGAAATCCATTTTTGTCTGAAGTACAGGCAGCTCTGCTTATTTTCTGATCCCATTACTCAAAAGGGGAGCAAAACCCCCGCTCTCACTCTCTCTCTCTTCTCCCCCCCGACTTCCCACCCCAAAATGCCACAGAAGCAAGACCACCCTGCCTAGCAGCAGCTGGACAGATCAGTCACCACCTATGATCCATGAACTAACGCACTCACTTGAGGTGTTGTGCGGAAGACGCAGGACAGACCATCTCAAAGCCCCAGCATTCACTTGAAAAAGTAGTTTTTCATACATCTCAAGTCCAGCACAAACACTGAAAGCAATGTACAACTCGTTTCTTTCAAAGGCATTCCAGATTTCTTACTCTTATGTCATTTCACATCCCAGTGACTTTGAGGAATGCAGTTACTGTCATTGATCAGGAAAGTCTTCCCTGTCCTGAATTATTTAGTTATTAATAACTAAGCACTGTATTCCATAGCCCGATTTTGGTGTTATGGCTCTCATGAAAACCAAATTTAGTAAATTTGATTACTAGTCTTTAGTGTAAAATTAAACTTTGAAAGAGTTCAAATGTCAAGCCAGGGATGCCATACCAACCCACGAAGCAAGAACTATGACTGGATTTTTTTCCTCTGCTCCCTCCCCCACTTAAAGAAAAAGTAATATTCAGAAAAGGCTATGGCATTGGCCAGAAGCAGTACAAAAGCTGACATCCCTGGAGGTGTTCAAGGCCAGGCTGGACGTGGCCCTGGGCAACCTGGTCTAGTGGGAGGTGTCCCTGCCCAGGGCAGGGGGGTTGGAACTCGATGATCTTCAAGGTCCTTTCCAACCTAAACCATTCCATGATTCTACGATATACATACCAGATCAGTATAGTTCAGACAAACACAGCATTAAACATACTCAGTAAA